TATATATATATATATATATATTTTTTTTTTTTTTTTTTTTCGATTAAAAAAAAATTGTTTACTTACAAAATAAATAAAATTAAATAATAAATAAATTGGGATATAATTTTTTTTTATTTGTGATTGTTCTTGAATACCCAGTTAATTGAAGAACAAAAAATATTGGAAGAATATATACACAAAGCGTAGAACGTAGTCATACAATGCATATTGATAATTCACACAGCAGTCATAAGTAACTGGTGTCCTGACAAACGTGACCGAAGAAACAACCGACACACACGTACACAAACACACGCACACGCAGCCACACGTACAGAGAATGAAAAAGAGAAGAGAACAAAGCAAATGGCATGCAAATAAATGAGAACAAAGGAATAAACGAATGGCCCGGATCCACAGCAAGAGCCAGAGCCAGAGCCAGAGCCAGAGCCAGAGCCAGAGCCAGAGCCAGAGCTCTGGCAGCAGTCAGCCCTTCGTGCTTCGTGCTGTCCATGGATTGAAGCACCAAACAAGGCAGTGGCAAACGAGCCGCATAATTTTTGCTGGCTGCACTTTGCGGCCAAGACTGGCGCCAGGATGCACTGCTCGGACGCTCAGGTCCTGCTTTAATGAACTATGAAGCGGCCAAATGAATGGCATATTAATAAGACGTCGGCTTTCAGTGCCACTGCAGCATTGCATTGATATCGGGGGATAAATCAAGGTAGATGGGGCAATTTGTAAGTCGAATGTTAATATGTGTGGGTGCAACTCTCTTTGTGTGTGTGAGTGCTTCTGTTCTTAAGTGGGTTACAGAGGGCTTCCTTTACTCTTGTGTGTGTGTGTGTGTGCATAATTAAATGGCTAGACAAAAAGAAACATAAATAACGGAAAAAGCTTATACTGCTGGCGGCAGGAAACGCTGCTGGTCAGGACCTTACGCTGATATGCTTGCCCTCTATATGGCCTCACTCTCCCGCACTCATTTTCGTCCTCATCCTCATCGCCGTCCTGCGCTGATTAATGCTCGTTTGTTTGCTTGGGCCGTGTATTCACTAATGGAATTCACATGTTGCGACATGACTGATTATGTACACATTAGGCGACTGATTTGCAATTCCTAGTGTGTGCCAAAGTGTGCATGAGTGTATGTGTCATGTCCTTCAGAACGTCACCTCAAACTTGAAGCCAACACAACTTTTCACTACGAGTATGTCCTAGAAAACAATGTCTGCCTTTTTGCACCCAAAGCAAAACATCTGTATGGCCTGGTATTGATGTGTGTATGTGTCTGTGAGTATTTTGCACGTGTCCTGCGTCACTCTGCCAAAGGACGAGGCCTGACTAGGCATATTAGCAAGTCTGCATCATGTCGAGCAGCGCTAATTGCCAGCCGCTTTGTCCTACTCGACTTGGCAAAGCAATTTTGCATACTCGATAATTAACTTAGCACAAAGGGATGCGGCTCTAATTATGGTGACATATTTTTAAATTGTTTAATTGCTATGAAACCTAATGTTAAAGCACAACAAAGCGACCCGCTTCAAAAATTCATAAATGTGCCTTGACAGACTTTTTATAGGTATTATTATATCCATATAAACAATTGATCTGAAAAAATATATTCGCCTAAAATTGTTTCTAATTTATGTATGTAGCTTAAGAAATATGCAGAAATACGGACTTGGGTAAATTGAATTAACTTCACAAGCTTAGCAAAGAAATTTATGTCATATGCGGTAAGCCGCGGCTGTTATATAAATATTAAAAAAAAGGTACCTTTTAAGAAGGAGTAATAACCATATTGCCTGAGAGAATTAACAAGTTATAATAAATTCTATCTTTCATATGCATATAAAGATATACAAATTCTTTTCAATATGCAAAAGGTAGCAAAGATTTCATACATGAAAGTTGTCAAGTTGTTATATTCCACTAAAAACTCTTTTGAAATCGCACACTCACAAAAAGGATTCACCCTTTAGCTGGCTCTTTGCCATGCAATTCACAGACACACATACATATGTACATAGTGGACAATTTGTGTGTGTGTGTGTATGCATTTGGTCGTTAAGTTATGCGCTAAATTTAAAGCTACACAAAGCGTGACTTTAGTTGGCTCTGCTGTCATTTCTGGCTTAATTGAGCATGTAACAAGTGAATCGTATGCTTTTAGCAACACACATACGCACCGTAAGCCACTGCCAATGACTGCGAAAATAATATACATATATATATTTGTATATACAATGTATGTACACATGTATATAGCCCAGATAGCAGTCCAGGCAACTGGCAACTGGCTGCCCTTGCCTCGCCGAGCACGCATCGCCCGCCACCCAGGCTTTGCTTGTTTTTGGCAAAAACCATATGCGCCCTGCAATGTGTTTTGTCAGAGTTTATGCTCGCTGCCAACATATCAGCTGCAGGGCGCAGCCCTCGCACAGCTACCATAGACAATATTGGGCTGCAAGTGCAACAAAGTGCCCGGCCACATAAACGGCTAATTGCAAACCAACATTATGGCTTGAGGGTGTCAATGTTACTTTAGCTTGTACTGCTAGTTCGCTAAGTAGTTATTCATATTGTTACAGTGGCTCACCAGAATTTCGACTCGACTGTCTTCTGTCTTCCGTCTTCTGTGGCCATCGCTTGAGTTGGTCTTCTTTTCCACTTTTCACTCAACCAAACGGAAATCAATCAATTTCCTGCATAGACATTCCAATTTAGTTGCTTTCCCAGCGCACCTGGCGCGGTGCAAGGCAAGTGAAAAACAACGCAATCGGAACGAGTCGATCCATTTAAAGCTATGTCAACTGCAACACTTGGCTCAGCAGCAATCTGTCATCGCAACAAAATACAATTATCGTTAACTAACTGCACTAAAATGCGCACATACTTTGGGTGAGTTATCCAATCTAATACTATTCTCATTTGCGTCTTACAGAACAAGGGTTTTCCTCTAATACGCCGAATAAGAAGACAATCTCTAATATAATTCTCTTTTCCAATCATTACTAACTAGACTCATATTCAATCAGGCTATAATATATGCATATTGATTTTCAATTTCCAACTGGTGCTGGTTGATGTACTCTAAAAATTGGTGAAGCGCCATCAGTAAGCTGTGTAGGTCTACGGCGTGGCCTCTTACCAGTACGTATTACCCTCACTGCAATGGTTACGACTTCCACTCGATCGCCGAACTTTGAACTGCTAGTGCCTGCAGGTGTTATTGTGTTGATATTAGTCACATTATTTAAATTCAAATATTTAATTGATACCTTTCAATCGGTACACTTCGTTTGGTTTACTCAATAAACTGTTACTCGAAACCACATCTGCGCCAAAGATTTTTCCGTCTTCGCCTAAAGAATTGCAAATTCATCATTCTACTCATACCACTAAAACACTTTACTTGCCGTAGGAGGCCGAAACAGTGCCGGAAGCAAGCAACAATAAGAACAGCGACAGAATCCGCATCTTGAACAATACTGACTAAAAGTAATACAGCTTAGCTCTATTTATAGAAAAACAGAATTATAGCAAGCCAATATCGTTGCTTGCGTTCTCTCTTGAAAGCTATAAGCTCAAATCTCAACCCACACAGCAACAGTACAGAAAACTTTGCTTTAGCAAAGAAATATTTATATAATTATTAAATTTATAAAGCATATATCTTGAAGTAACATTATATTTTTTATAACAATGTATTTACTAGAAGAACTATTGTGTAAGTAATAGAAGCCAAGGCATAAATAACAAATAAAATAAAGGGGAGAATGACAGCATGATTGTTCATCAAAATAGATTTAACATATTTCTTTAACTAAAATCTGTAAGGCTTTTGTAAACCTCCACATAACTACAACAAAAAACGTTCATAGAAAAATCAGACTGACAGTAATTTCATTGGATTTGTTTAAGCCTAGGGAAGGTAGCTGCTGCACTTATTTTTGTATGAGCATCTTGGGAGCTTGGCGATTTCCCTTAAGACTGTGTTAACGCAGCTATAAAATATTTGTTTATTTTTTGGAAATATGTTGCCTGGTATATCAGAATCTTAATAAATACTAAAAAGGCATGATGAGCTTCCGCCCATCCAGCCATCCAACCATCCAGAGGAGGCCAGCAAGGACGCTGCCCGAGTTGACAAGCTTGGATCAGCTAAGAGGACAGCAGGCGCTGTCTGGTGCCCGGCATTCCCAATGGATTTTGCAGTTGCTCGTGCGTGTCGACAAGAATTTCAATTTGCAAACAATAAATTTGAACAGCCAGCCAGTGGCTCTTCGAGGATGGCGAGGAACGCAGTGGAGTGGAGCGGAGGGAGCTAAAGGCACCCAATAAGTGGTCTAAGCACTCTTTATTAAAGAATAAAAATCTATTTTGTATTTTTGCTTAGCTGCGACATGCAAATGACAGTTTGGCATTTGACAATGATGTTGATTTCAATGTGCTTTGCCATGAGAATTTGATTGGAGCTAAGCCGACATTTAAATATTGGATTACCCACTGTGTTAGCTTAAAGCTGATTGGGTGCGTGTCTGTTCCGTAAGACGGCGCCAGACTCCGACAGGAAGTGCTGAACAACAAGGCGGAAATGAATCAATTTCCGTGGGCCAGACATTTAAAAACTATGTAAAAGCCACTTGAAGCACAAAGCAACTATAAAGACTCTAATTAAAAGATAAAACGTATAAAAAGTCTACCTCGGGAAAGGCTTTGGATCTTCTCTCTGTATGACAGCAAAAGAGATTATATATAATATTCATAAAGTGAAAGAATGAAATTTATGCTGAGAAAATGGAGAGTTAATAAGGTATTGGCAAAGTCAGCAGGCTGTTGATATGAAATCAGTAAATCGAAGCTGACAGACATTTCCCACCGAGCACAATTCTTTCACAATTCAAGTCAAATTTTGAGCAAACGAACTAACTTAAATATATATATATATATGTATATATTACCATACCAATTAACAATTAACCAAAATGTCGGTGTTTATTAACTGTTCTGCCTACATGGCGCTAGTTTATGAGGTCACCGCGGCATTCCTTGTTATGGTTCGGATGATCCAATTCGCCAAAATCATGAAGGTAAGACAAACACGATTCAGGCAGTCAGTCAACAACATGTATAGGATTTCCTGTCCGCAGTTTGATGTGTTGGATGTTATGATTATACTTGAGTCGCTGTGTAAACTCATTGGCTTTGGCTCTCTCGCCGTTGGTGTCGTTGGCGTAAGTACGAGCTGCTAGATATTCATGAATAGCTCTGAGGTGTAATCGCACAGACAGCGTTGCAGATTCCCGATTCGGCTGTGGTTGCTCATAGCCTATTTGCAAATCAAATGGCAAGGTGTAATTGACGTTGGCATCCTCATATACGAATACTATTTCAGTGAGCACATCAAGAGCAAGCAGGAGTTTCTGAAGGAGCTATCCGATGTGCATGGGCCCATCATTGGTCAAGTGCTAGCTCGTATTGGAATTATATTGATCGTTTACAGATTCTTCAAGTCCCTAGAACCAAAAATGATTAGGAAGTATGGCGTTCAGCCTGATCAAAGTGCAGATGAGGTGAAAACGGAGTAACTATACAGAGCCAAGACTTTTATTGTTCGGAAATCTTTGTTAAATTAAAATAAAAAGTGTGATAAGCGCAACAAAGTATTTCTCGCGACTTGTTGTCCGGCTTGGGGATGGGATAAGTTAAAATAAATGTGGTATACAATAAATATAAAGGCGAGTTCGACAGCTGAGGAGATCGGAAAATATATTAGACCGTAGATCGTAGTTGTGGATGCATAACTTGCCCATAGTCAGCAATGACAACAGGATGTTGGTTAGCGCTTCAATGGCATCGCCCGCCAGCAGCTCTAGGATCCATAGAACCACAAACACAAAGTCGAATAGCAGCCCTCCCGCACACCAGATAAGCCAGAACAACAACAGCTGTGGCTTGTGCTGCGAAAAGTGATCTCAGTGAATCGGCAATGCAATAGAATTTGAAGTCGGACCAGCTACCCACCAATAAGATCCCGGCGAGCATCAGCATTGACACAACTATCCACACATTCAATAGGAGCAGGTAAGTCCCCAGCATCCATGGACTTACGTTGTTGCTGTAAAGCCCTGAAATTTCGTTTAGAGTTAGTATGCTAGCGCCGGCTACCTTGCTACATTCCATTTAGCCTCTCACTTGTCGCATGCGTCGACTGCTCCAGCTCACTGGCTGTTGGCCTGTTTGCCTTTCTGGCGTTGCTCTGGCGCATCATGAAAATAATCATCAGCTCAAAGAACAAAGCTCCTATGATGTCCATGCAGCCGATGGCCAGCCCAAAGCCATTCAATGCACTCACCATTCTCGCTTTGCATCGAAATGTTTATTTTCTTCAACTTGTACTTCTCTCTCTGTTTCTCTCTCTCACTCTACATCTCTCTCTTTTTGTTGACGTAGAAAACTTAAAGTTAAAACTGCTGAAAACTCTTGATTTTGCGCCAGCAGCGGATCTACTCGGGCTGACTGCGTGCGAAATGAGCGCGAAAAAGTAAATTATATTTGACATGAGGGAAGGCACGTAAATGTGTGTGTGTGCAAGTGTAGGTACGTACGTATGCATGTGCACGTATTTCATCAGCCTGGCATTATAAGTATAAATGTACATGTATTTATGCACACATTTTTTGCATAAATAGACAAGAGCTCGGCCCAGACCTGCGCCAGCTTCGAGTTCTGAGTTGCTGTTTCCGTTTCCGCAATCGTTTTTTGTTTGTGTTTTTTGCTGCTGCTGCAGTGAAAATTATTTTAAAAGGATTTTGTTTTTAACATTGCCAAATGGGTAGCTGTGGGTGTGTCTGTGTGAGTGTGGATGTGCATGGGCATGTTAAACGGAATAATATTAAAGCCGTCGCTGGTTAGTCAAAGGAAAGATGATGTATTCGCATGCACACACTACTATAATCAAAGCGCGCAGACTTAACTGCTTCCAGCTTAATCGCGATTCATCAACAGCTGTAGAGCTTCCTCTTAAATGAAACTCATTCATATATAGCTTAATACCCGTTTATTACAAAAATATAAATCAACTCAAAATCAGCTTAATGACCATCGGCTTGCCATCGCTGCTTCAACCTTCGGGTGCTTCATTGTGCGGTCCTCACAGGAGACCAATATGGGCTTCGCTTCGACCCGCAGGTGTAGGGACTTGTAACGGATCTAGTTTGCAAAATGTTGCATCTGTAGGACCGTTTGCTTCGATTGGGCGATGTGGTACAAGCGTCTGCGTCTGGCTCTGGCTCCGGGTCCGGCTTTGGCAGCGGCGCTTCCTGAGGCAGCGATAGAACTTGCTCCAGCGGTGGATCTCTGCAAGGAGGCGGCTTTTTATCCTGAACAAGAGGACTGCATTCCGGAAGCTCTCGATAAAACAAATAGATGATCAAGACGAAAATTGTTTCAACAACTATAAGAGACGTCAAGATGAAGAAATCGCTTTATATATGTGGAAAATGCAGCTCACATAAACCAAGGAGCAGAATCAGACTATTCTTAGCTATTCCTACTTGGAAAGTGCTCCTGCTGATGAAAGCATAAATCAGCAGGCAGATCTCTATAGCAATGCCCACGCATGAGAATACAAGCCAGCTCCCTACCAACGTCGGATTACGCTGGAATGGAACATTCAAATTATTGCACTTTTGAAACTAACTAAAACTTACCCAATAAATGCCAGAGATGAGCAAAGCAATCAGTGTTATCCAAAACAAACCAAAGCACACCGCGAATATGGCTAACCAGGTCAACTGAAATAAGGAATATACATATATATGTATATACCCTGATGCGTATTTTACATATATGGGAACTTACGTATGAAAAGCATTTGGTCAGACTGAATGCAGCGAAGAGCACGCCGCAGAGTAGATCGAAAACGGCTATGGCATAGGCACAATAAAGGAGTGAACTCCTGTCCTGTTGCATGACGACATTTGACAGGATGTCTGGGAATGTTGAGTACCTTAACCACTTGGCCTACTTTCCCATTTCATTTTGCCCGAGTTGACAGAAAAGCATAAATTATCGTAAGTGAGGTGGGAGAAGCAGGTGGGCTGGATGGGGTCATTAATGTTGTCCTCTACGCAGCTTACGGTGCAGCTCTTTAAAGGCCGCTTTCTCCTCCCTTTTATACATCTTCTTCAGACGCTTGCGCTCCCTATTCTGTGTTTCCCCACTGCTGCAGGTGTATTTGCTGTGCTTGGAGCTGCGGCCGCCTTCAAATCGGTTGCCACCCAGTGGTATCCACTGCTCGTACTCAATCATATCCAGGTAAAAGACATATATAATGAACACGAAAGTCATTTCGACGGCTGTAATGGGCCGAGGTAACATTTGATTGCCGAGGCGTTCGGATAACAGTCTTACCCAAGCCAATGAAGGGCATAACGGTTATCTTAACGCCCTCCCAGTTTATGGATACCGCCAGGGTCAAGCCGTAGAGCAGAAGAAGGGCATCCAGCATGATGCCCAGGCAGGTGAAAACCAACCAGTAGCGCACGAAGTTCAACTGGCGCCGATAAATACCCAGCAACAGAACAATAATGATGCAGATCCAAACGAAGGAAAACAGCAGCGCAGCCAGCGACGTCCAGTGGCGCTGTGGACAAAGCAACTCAGCTCGACTTAGGCACAGTATTGAGCTACGACAACTACAACTTACGTGCTGTACGTATAACATACACGAGACACCAGCAAAAAGCACTGCGGACAATAGATCCAGAATTGCAATCGCGTAGCTGCAAACGACCAAATAGTTCTCCATTTCATTCAGCCAGCGTTTGAGCTCGAGTTGAAACAGAGGGCAAGGCTGTGCACTAAATCAAAGCTATAATGATTATGAGCACGTATTCTCAATAGAGCAGAGTGTGAGAAGCGGATACTGTTTGTTGGCAACTCAACTTCTTAATCAATGACATTTGATTGTGAAAAGCTAAGGCCTTAAGACAGTGTCTCTGTGCTTATGCAAACTAAGAGAAAGTATATAGGAAAATAAAAAGAATAACTAATGGAAAATACTGATATTTGGAAAAAGACTAGATATACTGGTAAGACACATTGGACGACCTCTGAAAAATTATAGAAATAATTTAAAATCGATCAGCAAAATAAACAATATATATAAAAAAAAAAAACATATTACATAAGAATTATATACTATGTATAATAAATTTATTCAAATATATGTGTATACATGCAATAAACACGATATTTTACCGAATATATCTGATAATTGTCTGCATATCCAATAAACCTAATCATATAAAAATGTCTTAAAAATGAACAAGCTTCATTAGGTTTCGACCACTGTGCGTTCATTGTGCTGATTTGCGACAAGTCTTCTGGGCATCTTTCATTTACTGCATTTGTTTTGTCAGCTGCCGCCTCTTGGCCGTTTTGAGATTAGATTTGGCCCCATTGACAACGTGACTCCTTTGGGACAGAGTTCCAAGATAGATAGACATTGCCAAAAGAGAGAAAAGAAACAGAAACCGATAAAAAGACAACTGTCAAACTCAATTATTATTATTGTTTGTGCTGGCAGATTCGAATTGATTTTGGCACACGAGCTAGGCAGTAAATTGAAACGATCTATAAAAGCCAATGCAGTGGAAGAATTTTATGTAAGTAGTTCAGTGTTACACCGTAGCGTATACGAATAATTACATTTCCTTACAAATCCTTTTTAAAAATCTCATTATTTCGGCGCACCGATGTAAATTACGGTATCTCCTTTATGCGGCTCAGGTTGAGATACAGACTCTTGATTTCTTTGAGGCTTCCATATTTCCTTCTGATTCTTCTGTTGGTTCTTATGTGGGCTGTACAGAATCAAATTATTTATTATTGAATTATAACAGCTTAACATTTTATCGACCTGAGCTTTTTCTTCTTGTTCGAGCTACCATTTTCTTCAAACTGAACCCTCACGATACTCAAACAATATCTGTAGACAATATAAATGCATAACCATTCAAGAACTAAAGAAAGTGATCATTAAATTGTATGAAAACAAGAAATAAAATCCTATTTTACTTCACCTATGCCCAAATATATGAGGGTGAACTGTATAATTTTCGGCCACTCTACGTACTCGGTAACGGAAATCGTCCAAATAAAAATGAGTATATCCACAATAATGCCAATGATCGAAAAAATCAGCCAACAGCAAATTAGCCGAATACGATGCTGGTGTAATTGCACTCAGTTATTGAGTTTGAATATTATATCTTTAAACTTCTTACCTTCCATAGACCCATCAAAAGCAGTATAACCATAATAATCCAAAATATCGAGCCTAGGAATACAACAATTGAGTAAATACCAACCTGTGGGTTCGGATAGGCCTCAATTAATACAAAGCAGACCTAATCAAATTGCATACGAACATTCCAACCCATAGCATCGATTGACTGAACCAGAAAGTATAGTGACTGAGCCAAATCAATTATTGCAATTAAATAACAGATTTGCACCAAAGTTATGCGACCCAAACTCGCACAGGTCTCGTCATATGCAATATTTTCAGATTGATCTTCCATTGTAAGATTCAATATAGTATTTAGTAAAAAAAAAAATATAGAAAAAAATTTTTATAAAATATATTTACTGCGAGAGTAGACACAAGGCCTACTGCGAAATATTTATATACATAAAATTGGTGAATAGATTTTGCTGCAGAAACAAGACTGTTTATTTTTTGGTAGGTTTCTTCTTTTCCGGTTTCTTTTTAACTGTTTTCTTCTCGTGCGCCTTGGACCTCTTCTGGCTATCTAAAAATCGATTCGAGGAATCATATATTTAAATTCTGATAAATCTAACGGTATTATATTATACCTTTACACGCCTTTTCATCCCGATGCTTCTTTGTGGTTCTCTTCTTTCCCTTTTCGGGCTCATCGACAAGTTGACACGGATCCATACCTAAATAGTACCTATACACCAGATATATGCAGATGCTTTCGATAACTGCAAAAAATAAAATATATTATGTATCCAAATAGATGGACGCTCACGCACAAACTCCCACAAATATAATGGAAAATTCTTTTAGGTGATCCACATCCACTGTTACAGAAGACACAATACCCCATATTGAAAATCCTATATCCACAATGAAACCAATTATTGAGAAGATAAGCCAGATTTTAACTAATAGAGGACGCCGCTTGATAGTTTTATATTATACAAGATGTAGAGATATATTAGGTTTATGATATCAATAATAATATACTTACCATCGTGAGGCCAACGATTAATAGCACCACGACTAGCACCCAAAATACAGTTCCCAGGACAGCCAATGTGGAGTATATATTGAACTGATTTTTAAAAGTTTTTAACGGCCTAATTAATTTCATTCAAATATCTGACTTACTTTCGTGAGCAACGAAATGGTCGCATTGACAACAAAGAAAAGCGCATGTCCCAAATCGCATAAGGCAATGAGAAGACATATTTGCCATAAACTCGATTGAAGGAAATGTGTTAGTCTTGAATTTATATTTGCCTTGGTAGCTGCTTTCCTTTTCTTATCTACGGCCATGATACAGGGTTAGGAAGTGGAATTGTAGATATTTTTCATAAATTTGAGTGATATGACAAAGCACATGAGCTACCATAAAAGTATAACATAAATAAATAAGGCTTAAGATTCCGCCCAATAGAAAACATATTTCGTTCGATTGTATGTGCGAGTGCAATATATAAAAGGCATTTCAAATTTAAATCAAACCGTTCTGTTAATATACCGTACACCGTCTGTTAATATAACATAAACAGCTGCTTTCTCGCTGATGTGGCAACGCCTATAAATGTTAGCTTCAGTGCTAAAAGTGTCAATACTGTTGCTTCACGCCGCCCAAACGCGTTGTGCTGCAAAAGTGATAAATAGAGTTTCTAAAGTAAATATATTTAAAAAAGCTGCCTTCATGCCTATCATCGTCAAAACGTAAGTAACTTAAGAAGATAACTCGTTCAACAAATATAGTTGTATAAGTGATTTGAAACAAACAACATCGGCCATAGAACAAAGTTGCCTATTGTCGTGAATTTTCGCGCCTTTTTCGCTTTTATTTTTACTTTGCAACACTGGAAACAGCTGTTTAATTTGTGAAACAAAGTTTCGCCGACAAAAAATTTCACAATGGGTCCACCGAAAAAATCTAAAAAAGATCGGGGCTCGACCGATAAATTTGGTAAGAGTCAATAATGTCAGAGTATTCCTATTATCCGGTAAAACTGATGTGAGTTCACAGCTAAGAAGCGTCGAGCAGAAGATGAGGCTTACACCCAACTGGTCGATGACAATGACAGCCAGGACTGTGTCAGCGAATCAGACGGCGTGCCAGGTGCTGCGTCTAAGAACGCAGAAACTAATGACGAGAACATCAACACAGACGAATACGGTGCCAAGGATTACCGTGCTCAGATGCAATTGCGTCCAGATCACGCTAATCGCCCTCTGTGGGTGGCACCGAACGGGCACGTGTTCCTTGAATCGTTCTCGCCGGTCTATAAGCATGCCCATGACTTTCTCATTGCTATTTCGGAGCCCGTCTGCCGGCCCGAGCACATACACGAGTACAAGCTGACAGCGTACAGCTTGTACGCAGCTGTGTCTGTGGGACTGCAGACACACGACATTATAGAGTATCTGAAACGTTTGAGCAAAACCACGATTCCCGAGGGCATATTGGAGTTTATTCGCCTTTGTACGCTGTCGTATGGAAAGGTGAAACTTGTGCTGAAGCATAACAAATACTTTATCGAGTCTCCGCATCCGGAAGTGTTGCAAAAGTTGCTCAAAGATCCGGTCATACAGAAGTGCCGACTCATACGCAACGAAGGTGAAGGCTTTATACAAGGCACAATGGATAGCAAAGCAATCACACAGTTCGGTACCAAGCTGCCAGCCACGAGCGACAATCCAGCAGAAGACGCAGCTAGCACCTCTGCAGCGACAGCAGCAGCAGCAGCAACAGGTGCGCCGGGTACTACCGCCGAGGGGGCAGCTACAGCAGTTGCGGTTCCTGAGGATATTACAGACTTTTACGAGAAGATCGACAAGGAAGAGGAAGATGAGGACGAAGCCAATCTTAAGACCGTGTCCTTTGAGGTGGCTCAGGAAAAGATTGAGCTTATCCAGAAGCGATGCATTGAAATCGAGCATCCCTTGCTGGCAGAGTATGATTTCCGTAATGATACCAATAATCCGGATATTAACATTGACCTTAAGCCAGCAGCAGTGCTACGTCCTTACCAAGAAAAGAGTTTGCGCAAGATGTTTGGCAACGGGCGTGCACGCTCTGGCGTAATTGTGCTGCCATGCGGCGCTGGAAAATCATTGGTGGGTGTCACCGCCTGCTGTACTGTGCGGAAACGCGCCCTGGTGCTGTGCAACAGCGGCGTATCAGTGGAACAGTGGAAGCAGCAGTTTAAGATGTGGTCCACTGCAGATGATAGTATGATTTGTCGCTTCACCTCGGAGGCAAAAGATAAACCCATGGGCTGTGGCATACTGGTTACTACATACTCAATGATAACGCACACACAGAAGCGTTCATGGGAGGCGGAGCAAACAATGCGCTGGCTGCAGGAGCAGGAATGGGGTATCATGGTACTAGACGAGGTGCACACCATTCCCGCCAAGATGTTCCGACGTGTCCTGACCATTGTGCAGTCGCACTGCAAGCTGGGATTGACAGCCACGCTGTTGCGTGAGGACGACAAAATTGCAGATCTGAATTTCCTGATTGGTCCCAAACTCTACGAAGCTAACTGGTTGGAGCTACAAAAGAAGGGCTACATAGCACGCGTGCAGTGTGCCGAGGTCTGGTGTCCCATGTCGCCGGAGTTCTATCGAGAGTATCTAACCACCAAAACTTCCAAGAAAATGCTGCTCTATGTGATGAATCCTTCAAAGTTTCGCAGCTGCCAATTCCTTATTAAATACCACGAGAAGCGTGGTGATAAGACTATTGTCTTCTCCGACAATGTGTTCGCCTTGAAGCACTACGCCATCAAGATGAACAAACCATTCATCTATGGACCAACATCTCAGAATGAACGTATTCAAATTCTACAGAATTTCAAGTTTAATGCCAAGGTATGTAAATATCGGTTTCTCTTCAAAGTGCAACTAATTTAAGTCTTTTTGTCAAAGGTCAACACGATTTTTGTATCAAAGGTGGCCGATACTAGTTTTGATCTTCCCGAGGCGAATGTGCTCATTCAGATTTCATCGCATGGCGGGTCACGACGCCAGGAAGCCCAGCGTTTAGGTCGTATTCTACGTGCCAAGAAAGGAGCCATCGCCGAGGAATATAATGCATTCTTCTACACGCTCGTCTCGCAGGACACTATGGAGATGAGCTATTCGCGCAAGCGCCAGCGGTTCCTGGTGAATCAGGGCTACAGCTATAAGGTCATCACACATCTTAAAGGCATGGACACTGAAACTGACCTTATGTATGGAACTCAGGAGGAGCAGGGTCAGCTTTTGCAGTTGGTGTTGTCTGCTTCCGACTTGGATTGTGAGGATGAGAAAATGCCGGGCGAGCCAGGCTATCGTCCAGGTGGTTCTGGCACTACGAAACGTATAGGTGGACTCAGTTCAATGTCAGGTGGTGATGATGCCGTCTACTATGAGCATCGGCGCAAAAATAATGGCAACGTACATCCATTGTTTAAAAAATTTAGAGGATAAGGCACTGTGCACAACAGAATAAACGTATCTCAATCCTAAAACGTTGTTTTTCTGTACAGTAAAATGTACTTTATATTCTACAGGTGACTTTTATATAGGTTTAAATTATAATGTCTGCTTCTTCTTTTAGTCATAGTGCCGGCAGTGGTGAGTGGGCCATCATAGAGCTGCAAGGTGATCTTGAGGTGCGCAGCAGTCAAAGCATGCACGATCAATTCATAGGGGATCTGTACTACAACAAATATGGACAGCCCGTAAGTTTCGTTAGCTATTGAAAGACCTTCTCATAGACATGTGTCAATACTGTTTCCAGATACTGATAATAGGGCATCACATACTGCAAGGACGCGAGCAGAAGCTAGAAAAACCATTTGCAGTTCTGGAGAAGTCAAAAAGTAATGAAGGACACCAACTACTCAACACGACTGATGCAACGCTGAACGCAAGCACCATGAATACAACCGAAGGGCCGGAGCGAACGCTGCTGGATGAGACAGTGGCACTGGAGCATAAGAGTCGCCAGCGAACCGAATATACCGTGCGTGCCATTTGCACGAAGAAACTCATTTTTAAAGCCCGACCGAAGCCAATCATAGCCAATGTGGCCAAAACGGTGTAATTGTAGATTGATTATGTGTCAATATGTATTTAGTTGGATAGATAAGTATTGTTGTATATAAATGTTTGTAAGCACGCACATTAAACTATTTCCATTTCACGTTCGATGCCCACAAATTTGAGCTGTTCGGTGGGTCCGTATCTGTAGTCAAAGAACAGCTCCTCGCCCGGCTGTATGGCGCGCTTGGCAAAGATTCCGATGCGATGATCCCCGGTGACCATCATGACCTTGGCATAGCAATTGGGATTGATCGAATGGTTGGCAAACCGAATCTTGTTGCCTTTTCGCGTGGCATCCACTACGAAATCATTGTTCAAATTGAACAAAAATGAGCACATGTACTTGTCATACACTTTGCCACGACGATCGGCCTCATCCTGCGAGATTATCTCCCCGCAATATTCTGATATGAACTCATTTTTCTGTGCTCCCTCCTTAAGGAAAATGCCCCATCCGGCAATATCCGACGGCGCCATCAGCAAATGTTTGTCTGCGAAGAAATAGATTAGGAGATATTCACATAGCACTTTAAGGACCCGCTACTTACGCAATCCGCGCTGAACGCAAACATTCTTGCACGTGATTTTGGTTAGCTTGAATTGATCGGCTCCGCATGCCTGACACAAGTCTGGATCGCATTCTCGCACCGCCAAGTAGCAAGGACATTGCTTGGTATTGCACTGCGCCTTGCAACGGCAGCCTGGAAAACGATTCTGGCAATCGCTGCTGCAATTGCAGAACTTCTCGCAAAAGTTCTGCGTCTGAATGCAGGAGCAGTTCATGTCGCAAGGGCCGGCGTGGTCGCAGGGTGTGTAGTTGTACACATGATTGGATGACGAGTCCTTCTTCAGCTGTATCTTGCGGCAATGCAATGACCACAATCGCTGCTTTTTCTTCTTCTTTCGCGGCGGAGTAAAGTCTTGGCGCAGATCCTCAAAGCTAAACTCGGCCGCCTCTTTCTGCGCAAATTCATAAACCTGCCGACAGGTCTTCGTAAGCATGTTGTGCGCAACAGCACAGTAGTTCTTTAGGTACACCTTGTGCAGTACTCTAAAAAGCGCTTGGTCGGCGCCAGTCCACACACACTGCGTGCTGGTTATGTTCATCATGCCAGCTAGAGCGCAAACCGTTTTTAATCAGAAGCTGCTTTCTTTCAGGGCACCTCATTGACCTCCGACATATGTAAGCTTACCCATTATGGAGTTAATTTCTGCACTGTTGACAGCTATGCTATTATCCTTGCCATTCTCGGGGTTGAAGTCCTTGTTGCTGAACTGGCTGTTGCTGTCATTGCTGTCCTCAGAGCTGGCCTCGTTGCAGGAATCTATGGGCGGCGTCTTACTATCTGCTGCCAGCTTCTCCTTCATCCCATCCTTTCATCAAGACAATGAAGATAATAATAATTGTTCACATTATGAAAATCTGCAACTTACTATTAGCATATAGCAAGAGTTGCTACATGGCTCAGCAAAAGCCTTCAGTTCCGGATAGCGACGCTTTTGTAGATTGGGGCCAGCATGTCCTTGCAAACCTGTGAATGGAAACGTAAACATATGTAGCACAGCTCGATAGGGACCACAAAGAAGACATGACTATGAGACATTCGGGGTTAGAGCATGAGTCAGATACGTTACTTAACGAGGGATGCAGAAGCCGCACGAAATGAGGCGAGAAACACCAAGAAAATTTTGACACAAGACAATTTTTGCCGATTTCCACAGACATTAAATATTTAAATATATATAGAAAGGATTGATGATGATGTGGAGTAAGGCGACATTTTGGCCTAGGCGGCATGAGTGTGTGTGCGTGTGGTTATCGAGAACAACAACTACAACAACGACTCACCCTGTACATGGTGACCTAAATTGCAGTTATTTATTTTAACAAAATTTAAGAGTTTTTTTTTTAGACAAAAGAAATGTTTTGCAACAAATTTTGTTTGTTTTCCAAATAAAGAGAAAAAGCAAAAACAAAACATTATTAAGAGTTACCCAACTGGAGACAACACACAAAAATTCGACTTACGATGAAGGAAGCAGTCGTATTTGAAACAGCGTCGACAGAAGAGAGTATGAAATGAGTGCATAGTGCGTTCACGGGAAACACTCTCCGCCTTAATGCCATCGATGTTGGGAGTGCACTCCTGAGGACGCTCAGGATCCTGATGCTCAGTGAGCTCAATGTACCTAAATGAGACGACACAATATTTTATTTAGCATATCATTTTGATGATGCAGAACTCAACATACTTCTCCTTTAGTTCCTGAGCAGTGCCCTTATCTGGGAAGTTGGCACTGATTGCTTGAAATATGATTGGTGCCGGGAATGGTAGTTTCTCTTTGACTTTCTCAACCTTGCCCTTTGTATCTGTCACATCTGCATTGAACGATTCTTCTTTTTCGTCCTCTACAGCTGAAGGAAATTCTGTTGCTGGCTCTGGTATTGCCGGTGTCACATCTTTTTCGTCTTCCTCCTTTACTTTTGATGTTGTTGCAGTCTCCGTTTTAACAGACGAACTTGATGTAGGTTCCTCCAAGTCCTTATTGTGCGAGCGCATCAATGCATGCACCAATTCCACAAATATGGCATCATCCATGAAGGATGGGTCTTTGTCCCCGTGAACTTTGCCATCGTAGTTCTTGATCAGCTCTTCTATGAACTTGCCATCTTTGTCGAGCACTTCGTCACCCATATACGGAATGTTGTGCAGCACAGTTTCGTCCTCGACCATGAAATTCTGTTGTGTGGGCGCCCATGTGTACATTGTGGGTATGGGCGTAACGGCGTTGATCACGCAAATGGGCACGCGTTGCGGACCACTGTTGGGACCATTGTAACTAGTCACCTCAGCACGCTTAACGCAGTCAACATGTGGAGGATTGTATGGCTTTGCCTGCCAGACCTTCGAGTCGCAATATAAATCCTGCACATTGTGATTGTGCTCATCCCTAAGTAGATAAACGGAGCAAGTTGACGCTAAGTGTTACGTGTTCCAGTGCGGCTAATTTACCAGTTTTTGATCCATGCTTCTTTGATTTCGTCAGCGCGTTTGTATCGCTTTTGCTGACGTATTTTCATATACTCCAACTTGACCACACGCTTCCATTCTTTGCTGCTCATTTTTTATCAAAATTTTTGCAGCAAACTATTTATGGCGGACTCCCACAGTGTTAGTCAACGTCGTTCATTTGAAAGAGTGCTGGAATATGGAAGAAATTTAGTGCTGGAAAGCAACAATCGTTTAATCAGCTGTTGGTTGCTTACCCCGCACTAATTTTAAGGCATTTCCATGTTTAGTATATGGTATTTATTTTTCGGTATTTATATTTGGCATTATTTAAGAGAAATTGAACACAAAAACAAATTAAATGTGAAATCTTATCAAAATAAAGGAAAAAAAATTACAGATATAAGCTGGACAAATTCAAACACATAAAATCAGCCACGAGCATCGAGGAAATTGGCGCGATGGAACCATCAGCTTGCGAGGACCTAAAGGCATTCGAGCGGCGACTAACAGAGGTGGTTTCATCATACAGGCCACCCACGAACCGCTGGCGCAGTAAGTAACAAGCGACTCCCTGATTAAACGGACATGAATACATATATAATCGCATATAATTTCTTATCACCGCAGTCATATTATCGGCATTATCCGTTTGCACGGCAATCAGTGCCTGGTATTGGCTGAAAGACCCGCGCACAACCGTCGTGCCGCTAACCGAATCGCTATGGATACACCCTATCTTCACAGTGGCCACAGTCACATTAATAATCCTCTTCATATTCGGCATACAGAAGCTGGTTGTGGCACCACAGATAATCACGTCTCGTACGCGGTCAGTGCTAACCGATTTTGCCCTGGACCTCGAACCGCATACTGGAAAGTTAATATTAAAGCCCCGGCAAAGTAATAACAATGGATGCAATACATGAAGTTTTCTAGACACACTTATTTAGTTTGCCTTGCCGATATCCATTTAGACCCTGATGATGCACACTTCCGTACTGATTGTTTACTCGCATCTGAAAACCTTAGTTAAATGCTTATAATCCAATCACAATGAAACACCTTTCGTTTGGTTAAATTATACAAACAAAAAACACTCCACTTGTACAATGTACCTGCTGGCTACGCTTGGCAGAGAAACAAATATAACTAATTGATTTATGGGTTACACAACCAAATTAATGATATGTATAATAATTGTTGCTCAGCTTACAGGTCGACATGATGTATGTATATAAAATCTCTTTTGGCCTTACGGGGAAAGTGAGTTAGAAAACAATTTCGTTGACACGGTTTTTGCCTAAGAAACTCAAATATTTGAACAAATTTAATATAATAATAATTTAAAGTCCTTTGCTCAACAATATGCTCTCATATCTGTAAAGGATTATATAGTTTTTATGCAAATAATAAATTTTTAAATTTATTTCATATGCGTTTTTCTAGTTACAAATGAAGTAGAACAAATATATAATATACAGGTACATATGTACGTACTGAATACTCAAAACTTGATTGCTCATAAGCAACAGTTGGTTTATTACGAGGTGGGTATTTCTATTTACTAATTGCAATTTCACCTGTTCAAAAAAAGAAAAGCAAGTCGTGCCAGGTGTAACGTGAAGGCTTGACTATAAATTGACGCCCTCTATGCGGTCGGACCACATTTACCACTTGACCAGCATTCCAGCATTGAAATGAAGATTTTCTTTCTGGCTTTTCTCGTCCTGGGCATCATGTTCAGCTTGTCTGCAGGCAAGTCATGAAATCATTTAGATATTTTTCATTTCTTATCGCCTATTTAAATTACAGCCCACAACTATGAGCATGCGGAGGACGCAGCTGAACATAGACATCATCAGAAGTTCGTGCGCAGCTTGGACGCCGTGCACGAGCACAAGAAGCCTGAGGCTTGTTGCGGCTGATACAATGCATCAGTGGTCATGGCAGCGCAATGCTGTTCTAAGTTACCGCCATGTATTAAAAATAAATATGTATATAAATAAAGAAGCAATATTTTGAAAATCCACATGAAAGCTTTGGCCTTGCTTTATGACTCCTTGCCCTATACGTAACTAATAAATATTATATTATTATAATAGATTTGAAAACTACTGTCTAACACTAATAATATTAGTCATTAGTTTAGAAAAGCTAATAGGTGCGCATACTGTCTGGGACTTGGAGCAAGCTTTTCTGCTGCTCAATTGCCCCAACAAATCCGAATTCTGCACTTATATTTTTCTGACTTAATAGACTTTTAAGGTTTTTGCAATTTTTCCATACATTCCGTTAAAGAAGTGAAATAATAGGAAACCTACTTTAATAAATAAATAAATACTGAAATTCTATTTACGAACAGTCTTATACCAGTATATATGTACATTATCTCCTACATTTAATGTGTACAAATAAAAATATATGTATGTATACATGTTTAATGTATGCAAGTGTATACAATAACTGATATTAATATTAATAATACACAATATACTGTATTAAAATAATCTAACTTGTGCCATGTAAGATCATAATCCGCGAAGCTATGATATGTATGTAAATATATATATCTTGAAGCAAATGAGTTTTCAAATTCTTTAGAAAATTATGTGGCCTCAGAATACAAAGTTTGATTGTTTAATTTAAATGAATATACTATTCGATGATTTATGATGCAGATACTGAAGATACCATTACTAAAGATATAAAAAAAAAATTTTACTGATAATATTGTTACCTTTTTATGTGTTTCGTACATATTTTACCTAAGCCATAGTCATATTGAAATTAAATATTACAAATTTATATTAAACATAAGTGGATAGAACATATACCTTCCGAGTACTAAAATAATATAACGTGTCAACAGGTATATTTATATTTATTGAATATTTATAACATATTAAATATGTAATTTCTTTTATATATTATGTATCTATATATATTTCTGCACTTTATATGAGTGCAAATACCTGAATAAACTCATTATACAAGTGCATGAGTAAGGGCGGCCCTCCAAAACAACATATTGATTAAAAATTTGTCACCTGTTTTGCTAATGAATGCATTTGTTAGTTGCCTGTAACGCTGTAACAAAGTGGGATTTGTGATGCCAAATGTTGGTCGTAAAAATCTTATTAAAAATATTTACATAACCATGGACGACTGGTATAAATATAGAGTGCGGTCCACTCTCAGATTATAGTAACACTCTGTTCGCCATCCAAGCTCAATTATGAAGGTCTTCTTCCTGCTCGCACTCCTCATGACCATCGTTTTCAGCATGTCGGCAGGCAAGTCGGAGGAATTGACTCAACTTAGTGTTGTGCAGTAATCATATCCGTTTTTTTTTTTTTTAATTTTATTTTAGCTAATAGTGACGATGGACATGATCATGATGGACCCCATGATCATCATGATCATGCTATAGCCGCAGATCCTGTACATCAGAGGATCGTCCGCGCCGCTAGCGCCCCACAGGACGGTAAGGAACCAGGAAAGGAAGCACCCAAAGCCTGTTGCGGTTAAACGGCTCAGCATTGCAATGCTGGGCATCATAATATTTGCAATGTGCGCCTTTCTCAAAATAAAGAGAGAATATTTTTGAAAATCCACAAAAAGTCCAAGTCTTTTCAATTTATGCTATGATAGAATAGGTCTACAATATACCATATGAAATAGCATGCAAAATAGGACAAAGAGAAAGTCTGATTGTCCCTCTGAACGTCAATTTACTCAGTCAGTTTAAACAGGGGCAATAAAGGACAGTGAAAAGTATTATTAAATTAAAAGTAAGATTATTATAGTTATAGAACTTTGCAATAAATATGCAATATATATTCCTCATTATAACCTGTACGATAATCTGTAATATAATGATTTATATTTTAGTTTCACTCACCGCAAATACATGCAAGTCTTTTATATGTGTTTTTAGTTTATTTTTGTTTTGCAATTTTTGATTTCTAATTTGATTTCATCTTTTCTTTTTTTCTGTTTTTTTTTTTTTTCTCTTTGCAATACAAGTTTTTATAAATTTCTATGTGTAAATCTTAAAATATTATTGCGCAGCGTTCTTCTATAGTCAGACATACAAATGTTCGTTATATGTTTATCAAATCTTTTCTTTTTTGTTCAAAGTGACAATATAAATGCATCTGCGATATTTCTGCGTGTGGTTCAGTTTGTTTTTTGCTTAGGCCATTTAGTTGGTTTCCTTTTATAATTAATTGTAATTGTATATATAGTCATGTACAAAAAAATATGCTAATTGTATTTATTTAAAAATGTATTTAAATTTATAATCTCTGGTTAGTAGTTGAAATTGAAATTTAGGATATCCATTTCTAACATATTTGACTTTGCGCTAATTTCTTGTTTATTATTCAATTTGCAATAGGTTTGTTCATTACTTAATATTAGTGCTAGATTATCAGCTAAATATTGTTGTTTGTTGATGTTGCTCTTGTTGTTATTGTTGTTGCTGGTTGCTGTGGCTGATATATTTGCATCCTAACTTTACAAGGAGGCGACAATCAATACAAAAAATATACATATATTTATTTATTATGAAGACGACAAATGCTGGAAATGCATAAATTAAACTAACTGCTGCCTCCTTTTTACACAACAATTCTCACACAATTCAAACATTACATTTCTATATATATACTCGTAGTAGAAGCCTATTAATTACATAAATAAAAACCGTTTAAATCTTTAAACAAAGTTAACGTTACAAATTTTACACATAAACAAAACGATTTGGCTTGATCCGCGCCCCCATCCGGCATTATGCGGCTAGCATATTACGTATGTTCTTCGGCGTATTCTCCTCGTTCAGATGCTTCGTCGTATACCGCAGGGCATTCAGCAGTGGCTCCGCCTTTATCGCTGGCTGTGCCTGCAACAGTCGCACGCACCCCTTCACGTCCACGTGAGCGCCGCGTGCAAACGCTCCCACCGGATGGACGTGATCGTAGAGTATGACCAGACCGACCATCACGCGTAGCACCAGCATTTGCGTTTCCTCCCGCTCAATCTGTTGCAAAAGTTTTCTGAAATCCAACAGCGTTTTACATTTCCAGTAATTCTTGTAAAAATCGTTATTCAATTGCCACTTACGGATTCTCCAGCATTCGTAGGCACACCTTGGCCATTGTACCAAGCGTTTCTGTCGTATTTTGCACATCGTCTGCATTGTCATTCACGAATTTGGATGTCGCCTCGCTGAGCACTTTCAGCATGGGCGTGGCATGGGCATAGAACAACGACATACGATTCGCCAGCTCTGTGCTGACCAGCATATTTTCCGTAGAGTCGATGCGCTGTCGACTGACGATGCGTCTGTAGTAGCTAAAGTCGTTCTGTATGGCGGGTGTTTTCATCTGCAAAGAAAGATAAGTGTGAGAATGGCGATTCGAATAGGAATACATATCATATTGGACCATTACGGTTAATGGCTACTTAGTCTAGACTGCACTGCTTGCTACTATAAATTATACATTATATGAAGCAGTTCACTGCTTATGAGTTTTGCTTTTAACTGCTCCGCACTGCTTGGCTTCCCACTTTAATTGAAGCCAGACTAATTTAGATCTAATTGCAGTACGTGACACCGCAATCGCACTTAATTTTTGTTGTAATTTGCAGCCAGGCCCAAAACTCAGTTTTCGAGTACATCGGATGACGCTTGAGCCTCTATTTAGCTGTCAGGGCTGCACTGGAGTCGTGCGTGAGAAAAACTTCTGAGAACTGCCGCCTGCCCAGCCGCCCCGACAACTTGAGACTGGCTCATCATTTACCTTGAGGGAGCGCTCGAGACATGACAACATTTTATACTATATATGCGCACTAAACCTATATAAATACGTTATTAGCATAAATCGTTCTAACAGTAAGTAACAATGCGGCGAACCGAACGGATCAGCAGCAGCGGCAGCTTTAAAGCCTATCAATGTGTGAGTTTAGTTAGATTTGAATAAAAGCTATAATTAAACACGAGGATGATTAATTTGAGCTTGTGCAATATTATCTTGACAGTTCGTAGTCTCGCTAATGGCGCTTCGCCTTGCAACAGCTCAGTATGCATCACCCACGTATAATGGACATTCATTAAACAACAACATTCAACTGCAATTGCAACGGCTGGGCTATCCCGATGCTCCATTGACCTACAGTCAGACCTATTCTGCACCTGTGCAGTCCAGGTGGTCTGGTGCGCCCATTGTTGTCAATGACGAGGCGAATATACTTCAGCAGCAGGAGCGTCAATATTCGCCCATTAATTACTACAACAATAGAGAGGTCTATGCCACGGTGAAGCCGGACAACACGAACCCGTATTGGTTCAGCAACAGCAACAACAACAACAATCTGCCGCCCACGCGTGCTGCCAATCACAATTACAGCAACAACAACAACAACAATGACAACAACTATGGCGCCTACTACTACACACAGCCTCCAGGCCAACATGAGCTGGACCAACGTGAGCTGCTCACTGTCGCTGATACCCGGCGACCAGAAGACCAAATAGTTCGCATTGGAGGCAGTCGCTCCCTGGCTTACAACAACAACAACAATATCTACAGAAACAATGAAAACTATGATGAAGCTGCGCTGTTGCTGAGCCAACGAGAATTTCAGGCAAAATATGCCAAACACTATTCCGACTATTTGCGCAAATATCCCCGAAGATTGCAGCCACAATATTTCAACACATTCATTGACAAATGATTAGGAATTGGTTGTACTCCAAACCTTATTTAAAGTGTGTCAGCTGAATAGTATCCAAAGTGCCAAAAATACCATTTGCCGGAGCGTGTGTGCCAAGTATCTTAATAGTTGACTAATCCATGCCAAGCACAACAATACAGGGAACGACCCCCAACCGGACCACGGACAACACTCTTGGGCAAGCAACATACATCCATGTAAGAAATTCGAAATGTGGATATATGTTTTAAATATTAAAGTCAAATAACAAATAAAATAAAAAGAGGTAAAATAAATAATAAAACCACATTACAAATAAAAGTTAAATTCGATTTTTATAAGTAATAATTTTAATTTACGATAATTTTAATATTGATCATTTATTTTACGCATCAAAATGTGTGTACTTTTACTACTCTTTCTGCTAAAGGGAGCATTCATTGTACTTGAGCAGTTGGGGTGTAACTGCTTTTAGTATTCGGTTCAATAAAATGTGTAGCATACTTTGAGGCGCACTCTAAAAACTCTTCAAAGGGGCAACACCCAGGGCAACAAGCATGTGAAAAGAAACGGTAATGCCTGTTACTATTACAGCTAGTCCGCTATTGGTTAGGCACGTTTGGACACTACAAATGAGTATATGAAGTGCCAATGCATAAGGCAAGTGCATGCGCATTTATCCATCTATACATACATACGTGTGGGTGCGTGTGTGTGTGAATTGATACTTTAACACACAGCAGCATCATCATCTCTCTCAAGATCCTTCATATTAACTTCAGCACACAAATTTGCAGACATGAACAGCAATCAACCGATGACGTTGAACTTTATCAAGTTGCTGCGCCGTTTACCCCGCCCTCTGCTCCTCCTCCTTTAGTTACACTTGCAGTAATAAAAGTTTTGCACAACGGAAGCGAGCGCAATGGGATAACGCGAGATTTGTATTTCGCTCCGATACAACAAAAGTCGCATTCATACTCTTATCATGGGGAGTCACGCGATAGAGAGTTAGATATCTGATCTCAAAAGCTAAGAGTTTAACCTACATTGGGCCATGCTCAATTCAATTGTGATTCGACGGCGTTCTAAAGTACGTATTTAAATTGTCATTTAAAATTACAAATTATAATAATTATATTATTATATTATAATAATTATTATTTATTATAATTTACAATTTATGTTTAGGTGAATTAAAATGAAATTTACATTTATCGATACTTTAAAAATAGCGGCAGATCTATCGAATACTTTGACTTTTATTAGCTTTAAATCGTTTTGATTCGTATTTGAAATATTCAAGTTTTAGGTGGTTTTTAATTGTCCTCTTGCTATGTTAAAAACAAATAACTTCTTTTAAAGCATTATTATTTATAAAATTATGCTTCTATGAATATAATTTCTTGTTACAAATATTTTTTAAAATATCTGTGTTTTGAAAAATATAATCATCAAAAATTTGTATTTTTATCTAAAATATTATTTAATATCTAATATTTACACGTATTTTAAATATGATTTTCATTAATTTTATGCCAAAGTAGGCCAAGCTCAAAACATTTCCAATTTGATTTACCGTAGTGTGGTCTAATAAGAGAAGCTCAATTACACATGGTTGAAGATACAAGGGAGAGGGAGAGAGAGAGAAAATGAGAGAGTGAGAGAGACAGATGTATCAAAGAAAAGCAAATGATTCTTTGAGCAGTTTTAAATGAATTTCAACATGCTCCAACCGACTTACTGGAGATATGCTCCATCCAGCCTCGACACACAACGTTCTGCTTTGCGTGCTCACTGAAGCGCCGACATTTGGCCAGGCCGTTAAAATGAGTGCGTGTGTGCGCTCCAAATGAGGCTTCACTGTACAGAGCGTACAGCAACGTTGAAGATATTTCATCAATGAGCAGCAGCACGCGCTCGCCTTAACTGACAGACAGATGGACAGACGGAGAGACGGATGGATGGATGTTCAAACTGGCAGTCAATTAAAAATGCAACCACGCGCGCAATGAGTTGGCAAAGACTTGGCTAAGACTTTAACCGGCTGTTGCACCCACATAAGGTAAACCAAACGACAACAAACGTTGCCTGGTCTGGTCTGGTCTGGCCTGGCCTGGCCTGGTCTGGTCTCAAAGAAGACATAACACTGTTGACCCACGCGCCTTGAAGCAGCGCGATATATTTACACATTGGGCGTAACGTGTGCCCAAACTAGGCAAGAGTTGTAGCACACATACACCCACACATCCACACACATAGTCACATGATTGTCGTGTAACTCACCTTGTACTCATCGAATTTCAACACGAATTCCAATATCTCAGCCAGCTGCTTGACCAGCGCCTGCTGCGTCTCCAGATGCTGTGTCGGATTGAGCTTGCCGCCCACCAACTGGCCGAGCAGCTTGGGCACTATTTTGTCCAGCTCCAGGGAGTGCTCGTAGCACCGCTTCAGCTTGATGACCAGTGGCAGCACCGCCGACCACGCTTTGGCCTGCACCTCGGGCGAGGGATCGGCGATGGCTTCGCGTATTTCTTTGTTGGCGCCCTGCAAGCATCAAACACATGAAAATGATTTTAGTTTTTTGTTTCAGCTCAATATTGGCCGGGCCTAGTCAAATGCTCGCTTGACATGCAAACAATAAGCGAATAAACGATTTTCCTCGCGTTTCATAGATTTTATAGATTTTTTATTATTACAACAGCACGGCCTGAATTGTTGTTGTTGTTGCAAGCTTTGTTATTTCTATGCCACATGCAACAATGACGACGTCGCTACGTCGCTGCGTGCATTGACCAGCGCTGCGATTTTATCGGCGCTCTATGATCTAGATTCCAAAGGCAAACAAAACTAAACAAAAACACAACACAAAGCCCAATGGACGCTTGGTCATTGCATGTTTGCAAAAGTTGATTTCGCGTCCAAGTTGAAAACTTTGCTACCGCATAAGCAATCAACAAATTGCGTTGATTATTTCAATTCATTTCATTTCAGTGGCGTTTCTGTTCAGTCTCTAATCGACACATGTCCAACTTGCAAGCCCCAAGTGCCACTAATAACAGCTAAGTTTTCAATCAAACTGCCAGAAACTAACAGTCTAGTCGCTTCAGCATGAACTTAGTTTAATCTGACTATGAACATTTCCTGCTCCGCGAAAAAATGTTTGGGGATAATAGCGTAAATCCTTAAATGATTGTAATATGATATATATGATAAAATACTTTGACTACAATATGTTTGACTTCATATTTATATTCGATCGTTGAGATTAATATTTAAATTATGCATCTCGTATAGAAACTCGTGTTTAAACTATTTAAACTTGAAATAGATGTATGATGAAATACTATAGAAAAAGTATTTATAAAATCAATATCACTATCAAACAAAATAGATAAAAAATAAGAAAGAACCTTGCAGTCGAGCTTTACCGACTGCGGAATACTCATCAGCGATTTAGTAGCTAAGATTTGCTTTAATACTGTAGAAAATTCAGTTTTTCTCAATTTGTCACGCCCTTACTGGCGCTGACGGTAACTAAAATTCAAAATTTTAATTCTTACGCTAAAAAATTTGAAAATAACAGGGTATTTTTCGATAAACCAAGCCCATAAAGGGACGTAACAATATTATTTGGAGAATTGATAGAGGAAGTTACTAGTAAATTGACTATCGGAATTTGAAGCTTCTAGCTCTTCTAGCCACGCCCCCTGTGGGCGGACATGTATCCACCAAAACTTGTTGGTCTTGGGAGGTCAACCCGAGTACATATACCAAATTTGATTTGATTTGGTCGCTGCCTAGCATCAATAGTGTCTAAAATATAGCTAAATTTGGAAAATCACTATATCTTAAGGTCCGATTTGCCTCGCCCCTGGTGAGCGGTTTGGGAAAATTTTAACACTTTATAAATCGGAAATATACACGAGTTTGTGTTCCAAGTTTCAAGTCTCAAGTCTCTAGTTTCAATAGCGCCGAAATAGACTGCGTTCATACGGACAAAACAAATATACTCATTTCACTTTCGTGAATGAGTATAAAAATAATTTGAAAAGAGTAAAGAGTAATAACTGTATGAGTATTATTTTAGTAAATAACTATAATATGGAACAGCAGTTTCATATTGCAACCATCTTTTGCCCCCAAAAATCGAATACAATTTAAAATATACACAATTACAAAACATCGGTAATTCACACGCAAGTTTTTTCTTTAAGCCTTTTCTCAGTTAAACTGCCACGCCCACAACATTTTTTGTTTACAAATTGCAAGCCAAAGGAAAATGCTTCGATGCAAGCGAACTAGGTTTATACATATGTATGTACCACATATTAATATTTACAACGAAATTGTATCAATGAAGCAAAAGCAAAAGCCGAAGAGCCCAACTCAAACCGTCTGCATGACTGAGGCGTTGTTATTTTTGGTTCGTTGGCACCTTTTAGGTATGTTTGTGCAGTAATTACATGGACTCTTGCTGCCACATGTTGTGTGCTTGTAATTAAATTGCTGCACATATCATCAACAAAAGTCTGCAGTCTGGTCCACCCTCAGACATTCTCTCACACTTGCTGTGCATCGACGAGTGCTTTGGCATAATCAAAATGCAACCGTCGGCATCTAAATCAACACATGGACCCAAGTGGAGCATAAAGCCAGAACTGAAGCTGTAGCTGACTCGCAGCATTACCTTCTGTGCCAAGCAGCATTTACACCTGTCCGCGCAGCCAGGAATTGTCCTTGGCGACCGGCAGCTGTTGGCTGCTGTTTGCTGCTGCACTTGAAGCTGCACAAATGTTTAACACGTGCAAACAAACAAGTCAAGGAACAAAGAGAGAAATAACAAGTAAGAAGACTCTAGTCGAGACTGCTCGACTAGGAGATACCCTG